CTTTTCAACGGTTGGAAAATTGATTTTTTGGGTTCAAAAATCACCACCAGACATACGCTAAACTTGTTTTTTTGTCACTTTCATGAAAAATGCATTTCTATGTGGTATTTGATTTTTTATTTTTCAACTTAGATAGAATTGAAAAGTCTTTCCACATATACCAATCAAACGGACCTTAATTTCCGTTTCTTGTGACCACTATTATTGAAAGGTCGGGGTTAGTAGTGACAGCGTTAATTAATGAAAAATTAGAGTTAATGGTGCCAAGGAAAAAAAAAAAAAAAAAACTGGGCTAAAGTTGCTGCGAGGATCAAATGGGTGGGGACAAATATGTAATTTAACCAGTCAGAAAATATCTAATTTATTTTTTACAATACATCATTGTAATTTTGGGAAGAATAATGCTACGGGTACATCACCCCTTATAAATTAGAGATTTTGTCTGAATTATAACTGACATTTTATTTGATAGACAAATAAATGAAATGATGGTTATATTGATTCTTTTCCAAAAACAATTAATTTCTAATTCTGAATATGGTAATCAAATGAAAATTGTAATTTGTCCACCCATCTGTAATATATTAAATATTACATTAAGTGAGAATCGTTTTTGGACGATTCAACTCTACTATAATTCAATTATTTCAATAATACCTTATTTTTTGTTTTTCATTATATTTTTAATTTATTTAACCCTTTAGTTACCATCAATGTACATATACACTTGACGGATTCATTTAACTTATGTGCTTTTATTAATACATGAATTCCCTATTATTAATTATCAATTAATTAACATTCACATTCATTAAATTAATATTCATCATTTCAGCGTTATTAATTCCAATTATAAGTTAATTAGAATTTCGTAATCAAGAATGCATTTCGTTATTTACGTCTATATATGCTAATTAACATCCAGTTTTATTTAATTGAAAATTAAATAAATGATTTAACATTCATTGTCACGTATATATTCCCCGATATTAATTCTAAATTAATCAACATTCATGCATATTTAAATTTTATTTTTATAACACTTATAAAACATTTCATAATAACGTGTCATGCTCGTTGAACGTTGTCTAGTTCAATATATATGTATTTAGAAGTGTAACCAAATCATTGAGAAAGAGCTATGCCATCATGAAAAAATGAAGTCTCTAACCCGTTTATTATAATTGTAGGAAATATTTTAGCGTGAAATAAGTCAAATCTTTATTTGCCGTTACGTAACTTTATAGAATTACGTCCCACTTCCAAATTTTGTAACTACAGTTAATCTGGAATGTAAACTTAGCTTCGTAAAGTTGGACATGCAACGATCAAGTTGGAGTGTGATTGAGAAACTAAATCAAAGGGTTAAAAACAACGGTCAATTTGCTACTAAAATCTTAGATTGAGGACCAATGGTGCAATTTTCCAAAATCATTTTGAACACACGACTTGATCACGTGATATGTCGATTCCTCGTATAGTACGACGGGCTTTATGGCTATGCGCACAAAAGGAAAGTTTTCAAAATATCTTCTTGTAATTATTTTAGGCAACTAAATAATTCTAAATAAATAAGGTTTCAAAAAATATATATACTGAAAGTGAGATACACAAAACGACGTCACCTCATGCCCGTTGCCAGTTCCAAGTCCACTCAGGTGACAGCTACTCGCGGTTTCTGTACCTTCCATCATTACG